TATAAGCCAGCTCTCTTCTGAGACAGACACTGAAGGCCCCTTGGGCACAGGATATTTTTAACCTAGAGAAGCCAGTGATTCTTGCAGACAGCCTGCAGGGACTTACACTGGGAAGATTGTTTGGGGGCTGGTGGACCCGTTCCCTGATGAGATACTCCTCAGAGTCCAGCTTTTCTGTCCTCTGGAGCCAGTAGGTCCAGGCTGGCTTGGGCGACAGGGTGGGAGGGGGTGGGGTGGGGGTTGGCTCCACCTGGAACTGATGTTTCCAAGGATATTTCCATACATGGTGGAAGGGGAGAGGGTCAGGATTACCTCACCCAAGCCAACCACTTCTCTCTGCTTTCTGCCTGGAAAGGAGCTAGAGAACAACTAATTGTTGGAACTGGATATGAATTCACCCTCCTCCTTCTTCCCCTCCCTAACCCAGAAGAGTCCTGTGAAAGCTTCAGCGTTTCAAACGTACACATCGAATATTCTCCAGACGCTCTCCTATGTGGCTTTGTGGGAGAATACACAGTACAGTCTTGGGGGACCCAACTTGGGGGCATCTTTTAAAATACAAAATATGGGGAAATCCCTGGTGGTCCAGTGGTTAGGACTCCACTTTCACTGCCGAGGCTGCAGGTTCAATCCCTGGTTGGGGAACTAAGATTCCACAAGCTGCACGGTGCAGCCAAAAAAAAAAAAAAAAATTAAAATGCAAAATGTGAACGGTTTTTGTGCAAGCAATCTCACCTACAGAAATTTCCCCTAGAAACAGCACACTAGTAGGCAAAATTCCCCCAAAAAAACCCTATGAGTAGGCAAAGATGCACATCCAAGGATGTTCATCATAGCATTGCTTATAATTGGGAAAAACTGGGAACAACCCAAATGTCCATCCATAGGGATTGGTTAGCTGAAGTGAGATGTATCCATATGGGAAGAGGGGAGCTATATGCTGACATGGAAAATAGGTCCACCATATATTAGTTTAGCAGAAAGAAAAAGGAAATAGTAGAACTGAATGTAGAATATAATCCAATGTTTGTTAATAATTAGGTTGACACGTAAATAGAACAATTTGGAGGAATAATCTCACATATCTGTGGCTATTTTCTCTAGCCATGGAGGTGGGATTATGGTGATCTTTGACTGTCACTGCTGCATATATATAATGTTTGGATTTTATATACCAACATGCAGTAATTTTACAACCAGAAAAAAGTTAGGTTGTGAAACTGAAACCAATAATATGTAAAAATCACATGGATCCACTTGAAGATGGTTAATTTTACATTCTGTGAATTTTACTTCAATTAAAAAAAAAAAAAAAGTCATTGTAACTCAAACTACCCAGACAAAGAAAGATTCCAGTAGAGCTGAGAGCAAAATATCACATGTATGCTTTATAAATTTTACCTTTAAAAAAATTGTTTTGCTTTCCTTAAGCTTTTTGTTCATATTTTTGGTGGGTTTTTTAAAAATAATTATTTATTTATTTATTTATTTATTTAATTTATTTTTTAAGGCAAATCCATTTACTCATTATTTTTGGCTGCATTGGGTCTTTGTTGCTTCACGCGGGCTTTCTCTAGTTGTGGTGAGTGGGGGTTACTCTTCGCTGTGGTGCACAGGCTTCTTATTGTGGTGGCTTCATCTTGTTGTGGAGCACAGGCTCTAGGCACGCGGGCTTCAGTAGTTGCAGCACACGGGCTCAGTAGTTGCGGCGCATGGGCTCTAGAGAGCAGGCTCAGTAGTTGTGGCACATGGCCTTAGTTGCTGCACGGCATGTGGGATCTTCCTGGAGCAGGGCTCAAACCCGTGTCCCCTGCCTTGGCAGGCAGATTCTTAACCACTGCGCCACCAGGGAAGTCCCTTGGTGGTTTTTCCTTGCTTTTCTTTCTTGTATGCTTACAAATGAGTCATTATTTTACTTACTTGCTATTATAAATTCTGAGAAAATCACACACACACACACACATTCACATGAGTGTTTGCCAGAGCATCATCTGACTTTCCAATCAATACAAAATTTGCCATGGGAGGGAGCATTCATGTTCTGTCTCCTCCAGGCCTGTTCTGACACCCAGATTATTCATCTTGGCAACCAGCTAAGATGAAAAGAAATGGTTGGAGTGCATTTTCAGACCACACTATCAGGGAAATTTTTAGCTCCTTGAAATTTCAGCCTCTGGGTAGCACACGTCGGCTCCTCTTGTAGTTCCCACAATCGTAGTGGGGTCTTCAGGATGCCCCTTTGGGTAGTTATCACTGACCCCCTCTTTCCATCATATTTGCTCAATTGTAATACATTGGCTCCGCAGGGGACTCTTCTTCCCTTTCCTGGGACCACAGGTCCTGAACACAGGGTATTCCTTTGTCCCAGCAAACCTACCCTGGGTTCCAGAGAAGAAGTGACATTAATTTATCTTACTTAGCCATATTTTGATGACTGATCAGGAAGTGGTTTAAGGGAGTAGTTGTGGAAAGCAAAGGGCTTTTATTACCAAATGTCAAGGATTGTTCATTCCACAGATTACTGATTACATAGGGGAAAGTGCACTTTTACAATAGAGAGAGACCAGTTACTGCTTTACCCTGGCGCTTAAACTCAGCATCGATTATAGTGGCAGATGCAATACAAAGTTCATAACGCTATCTCTGAAGTTCTGTTGAATCGAATCAAGTCTTGATTACAGGAAATAAAGGGAACACAGTCAGTGAAGTTGGAATGTGAGGCTTCTACACGATAACTGTCTCGGACTCTTCAAAAAATCAGTGTCACGAAGGAAAGAGAAAAGGCAGCGGGAGCGGGGCGGGGCTTCCCTGGTGGCGCAGTGGTTAAGAATCCGCCTACCGATGCAGAAGCAACGGGTTGAAGCCCTAGTCCGGGAAGATCCCACATGCCGTGCAGCAACAGACACCGTGTGCCACAACTACTGAGCCCACGTATGGCAACTACTAAAGCCCATGCGCCTAGGGCCTGTGCTCCGAAGCCACTGCAATGAGAAGCACGCGCACCGCAACGAAGAGTAGACCCCACTTGCCGCAACTAGAGAAAGCCCGCGCGTGGCAACAAAGACCCAACTCAGCCAAAATTAAATTAATTAATTAAAAGAAAAAGTCAGGGGCACTTGCCTAGATTTTTTAAAACTGCAGGTGGAAACTAAAATGGAAATGGAAAGCCACTCTGGAAGATAATTTGACAGCTTCTTACAAAACTTGTACAGGAATGCTCTTAGCAGCTTTATTTATGATAGCAAAATACTAGGAACAATTCAAATATCCTTCCATGGGTGAATGGTTGAACAAACCCTGGTACTTCCATATAATGGAATACTACTCAGCAAGGAAAAAGAATGAGCTAGTGATACATGCAACAACCTGGATGAACTGCAAGGACATATTGTTTGATGAAAAAAGTCTATCTCAAGAAAATCACATACCGTAGATTCCGTTCCTATAAAATTCTAGAAAATACAAACTAATCTATAGCGACAGAATGGGGGAGGGGTAGTGGGGAGGGATGGATTGCAAAGGAACATCAGGAAACTTTGGGGAGTAATGGATGTGTTCGCCAGCTGGTTTGCAGTAATGGTTCCATGGGTGTATATATGTTCTCAAAACTCATCAAATTGTAGGCTTTAAATATGTGCAGTTTATTGAATATCAATTATGCCTCAGTAGAGCTGTTTGTAAAAAAAAAAAAAAAAAAGGAATGGGGAGAAAGGTTTCTGTAAGAATTAAATGAAACAAAGCATCTTAAGCACTTTGCCTGGAGTCTGGCACACAATAAGTGCTCCATAGTGGGTGGTGCTGGAACTCGGCTGGTCTTCTGGATGGCTCCATCGCATCTCTCTATAACATTGAAATAACCTGTAATTATGTTGATTATCTGTGGTTTCAAAACGGTGAGTTCCTTGAAGCAAGGACTGTGTCTGATCTGCCGCTAGGGCGGTTTTCCACAGTGTGGTGCTTTGAATCAGTAGAGGCTGTTCCACCACCTTCACTCTAACAAGCCGCATTCTTTTGCTAGAGAACAGAAAAACGTTTTATGGGTAGTGGCCTAAACAGGTCCAGCTGTATCTGCCACGCCCAGAGCTCAGACTCCTCAGGCCTTCTGTCCGTGGACACGCCTGATCCTCCTAACAGCACAAGACTATAGGGAGCCGTTATTGTGGAAACCAGCACCCCACTAAGAATAAACCGATTTAATTGCAAACGAAGCTGTGCTCAGGACTCTACAGTACGACCTAAAAAAGCCCACTGTGTCCTTTCTTCTTAATCGCTTTAAAAGGAAATGTTTGGACGACATGTTTTCAGGCTCACGTCGGTTCCTACGAACCTGTGACCTTCGGAAAACACGGAACAGACTCACCCCACACTTTTAACGATAGAAAATCTCCGTAATGCTTCAGTAAGAAAAGCAGAAAAACCCCAGAAAATTTTCAACAGTCGAAACACTCATTACCGGAAATGTAATAAGTATTGAACATCTGTTATTAAACATGCATCGTTCAGTCTCCGTAGAGACTGTCAAAAATTGCCAATGCCGACTATATTTCAAGTCGTCATGGCGGGGTATTGGGAAAAGTTTTCAATTAGCAATAATCGCGCCTCGGATAAACCTCATTGGCTACGATACTGCCACTGCGCAAAGCTAGAGAGCGGGAGCGCGCACCTACCTCCCCCATGGATGACAACTGTCTTTACCATGAGGGCGAGCGACTAACAACGAGCTGTGAGATATGAAGCATTTCCCTGCAAACATTCCTGTTTAAAACACGTGTGCGCGAAGAGCTGCCGGGTATTAGAGCAACTCTTGTCGAACCCTAACCTTTCGAAAATAAGAACGCCTTTCGCTAAGGACGCTGGAGAATTTTATGCAAATTACCATGACATCACCAAGACGCTGCGGGTAAGACTCGCGTTCTAAAGAACAGCGACAAGAAAAAAACCGAAACAGAGAGTAATGCGAGACGGGACGAGTAAATGGAAGTGTTGGTGTTAAAACCAGAAAAATAAATATTAAGAAATAAAAAAATTATTAATACGACTTGGACAACAACTAACACGCAAGTGTAAAGAACGAACTAAAACTGAGGACCAGGTATGAAACGAACTGTTTACAAAAGCTAATCGTTTATATTGAAATCGAAACCAAAAACAATAGTAACACGTGCTAGGAATTTCTAGCAAGTCAATTCCCTATCCAGTAACGGTAAAAATTTGAAATCGGGCATACAACTACTAGTCATTTTGGACTCTCGGCGTTTCTTCCACGCTCTTTGTGACTTGGGACTTACAACGTATTCTCCCGTAGGTTTACGGTGGTTATGAAACACTTTTTTTAAACTTGCATTATTCAGTCTCCGTAGAGACTGTCAAAAATTGCCAATGCCGACTATATTTCAAGTCGTCACGGCGGGGTATTGGGAAAAGTTTTCAATTAGCAATAATCGCGCCTCGGATAAACCTCATTGGCTACGATACTGCCACTGCGCAAAGCTAGAGGACATAGCCCCCCACTCATCGTTCCCAATAAGCAAGGTTCCTATTTCAGAAAGGTGAGTTGCAGCCTCAAGGCAAAACCCTTAATTATTAATGGGCTGAAAATTATACAACCATATTAAGATGTCTCGGAAATATATAAGCTGTTTCTCAGTATTCAGTTGCTTGATTTCACTTAGTTTTGAGTGGAGAATGAAGCAAAGCATTGTGGGAGGGAACATGCTAATAAACTTAATTCAGACTATAAATTGGGGAGGATGAGAAATGTACTCAGTGTAAGGGTGCTGTGGTAAAATATACATAACATAAAATTTACCATTTGAACCATTTCTAAATTCAGCAACCATCACCACTGTACATCTCCAGAACTTTTTCATCATTCCAAACAAACTTCCCATTAAATACTAACTCCCCATTCCTCTCTCCCACAGCTCCTGGCAACCTCTATTCTACTTTCTATAAATTTGGCAACTCTCAGTACCTCACATAAGAGAATCACACAATTATTTGACCTTTTGTGTCTGGCTTATTTCATACCTTGTTTTTAAGGTCCATCCATATTGTAGTATGTTTCAGAATTTCGTTCCTTTTTATGGCTGATGTTCTACTGTATGGAATTTTGTTATCCATTTATTCTTTGATTGACAGGAGGTTGCTTCCACCTTTTGGCTATTGTGAATAATGCTTCTATGAACATTGACATACAAGTATCAGTTTGAGTCCTTCTTTTCAATTCTTTTGTGTTTATATCTAGAAGTAGAATTTCTGGATGATGTGCTATGTTTAACCTGGAAGGGTTTTCTGTGGACATCTTAAATCAGAGGAGAGAGGCTACTTCTACAGTTCATGAGTTTGAAGTAACTTTCACTGTTACTGGCTCGGCAAGTGGAAAGCTACTAGAAACCTATGTCTGAACTTGTTTCAGCTCTGAGCTGTACTCTCCAAAAGACTTTTGGTTTTTGCTACTCACTAAGATGCAACTAGTACTCTGAGAAAATATTTCCCCCAAAATTTCATTATGAAAAATTTCAAACATGAAACGTTCAAAGTATTGCTCACTGAACATTTATGTAGTCATCAACTAGATGTAAAAATGACATAAAAAGGCCTATTTGATGCTGATGTGTAGTTAATTTTTTTTCCACAGCCATAATTGGCAGGGTAGGAAAAAACAGCAGAAAAAAAGAAAGGCTAACAGTCTGATTAATTTAGAGTATTTGATTTTGATCCAGCCAAGGACTTTGTCATTAATTCCTAGCGTGGTGGAGTTGTGAGAAATAAAAAGACAAGGGTCATCCAAAGAACTTCTCAGCCCTTGAGAATGTCTCGATTGGGTGGCTCATTACACCCTGTCAGTAGCTATCAAGGGAAATTGTTTCACCAGCTGTCTTGGATGACTTCATCTTCCACAGATGACTTCCCAGCACTAAGAAAAATAGAAAACTCAGCTAACTTCTCCCCAGAACATGAAATTCTTTGGTGCCTAAAAGCACAATAATCCTGTGTTCCTGGCCAGTCTTTTAAGGATGCTTATTCCACTTGAAGAACTGGAAAAATAATGTGGCTCTGAAGTTTTCCACAATAAAATTTGCCTGGGATTGGGGGTAGTGTCATGTTTTGACATTTCCATAGGTTTTAATCAAATACCCATGTGTGCAGAAAATATTCTGGATTACAATTTTGTTTTCTTTTTTAAAATTTTATTTATTTATTTTTGGCTGCACTGGGTCTTAGTTGCTGTGCACGGGTTTTCTCTAGTTGCGGCGAGCGGGGGCTACTCCTGTTGCAGTGCACGAGCTTCTCATTGCGGTGGCTTCTCTTGTTGCGGAGCACAGGCTCTAGGCACGCAGGCTCAGTAGCTGTGGCTCGTGGGATCTAGAGCGCAGGCTCAGTAGTTATGGCGCAGGGCCTTAGTTGCTCCGCGGCATGTGGGATCTTCCCGGACCAGGGCTCGAACCCGTGTTCCCTGCACTGACAGGCGGATTCTTAACCACTGCACCACCAGGGAAGCCCTATAATTTTTTGACTTCATAAAAGTTCCCAGTATACATTTTAAAAAATTAATGTATTTGTTTTTACTTTTGGCTGTGTTGGGTCTTCTTGCTGTGTGGGGGCTTTCTCTAGTTGCAGCGAGCCAGGGCCACTCTTTGTTGCCATGGGCGGGCTTCTCATCGTCGTGGCTTCTCTTGTTGCAGAGGATGGGCTCTAGGCGCGCGGGCTTCAGTAGTTGTGGCACACAGGTTCAATAGTGCAGGCTCAGTAGTTGTGGCGCACGGGCTTAGTTGCTCCACAGTGTGGGATCTTCCCGGACCAGGGATTGAACCCGTGTCCCCTGCATTAGCAGGCAGATTCTTAACCACTGCGCCACCACGGAAGCCCCCCAGTCTATATTTTAATCCTTTTTAAAATTTTTTCCCAGCCAATGTGGTCAGGTTAACTAAGGTACAAAAGACGGGCTTCCCTGGTGGCGCAGTGGTTGAGAGTCCGCCTGCCGATGCAGGGGACACAGGTTCGTGCCCCGGTCCGGGAAGATCCCACATGCCATCTTCCTACCTGCCACGGAGAGGCTGGGCCCGTGAGCCATGGCCACTGAGCCTGCGTGTCCGGAGCCTGTGCTCCGCAACGGGAGAGGCCACAACAGTGACAGGCCCGCGTACTGCAAAAAGAAAAAAAGACTCATGTCAGGTGGCTCTCTCAGCCCAGTGACCTATTTGAGGTGTGGCTGGAGATATTGCTCCCAAACTACTGAAATGGGTTACTTTACCAATATTTACTGCTATGCATTCAATGAGAGTCAGACTCTGACTCCAGCTTTCATACTACTCCTCTGGGCTTCAGTTTTGTTTGTTTGCTTGTTTGTTTTTGGCGGCACCGAGTGGCTTTCGAGATCTTAGTTCCCCGACCAGGGATTGAACCTGTACCATCGGCGGTGAAAGCTCGGAGCTTAACCACTGGACCTCCAGGGAATTCCCCTCACTTCATTTTAAAATGGGGGAAGTGGCTCCTTAGAGTGGTCTTCAAGGTCAGTGCTAGCATATCCTTTGATATGTTCTAAAACACTTAGAAATCGATGTCTTATTTAGGCAATGCTACAGATCAGTGGTTCTCACTGGCTACATATTAGAAGCAACTGTGAGGTTTGTAAACCGACTTGGTGCCCAAATGTCTCCCCAGACCAATTAAATCAGAATTTCTGGGGGTAAGACCCAGGCATTGTGTTGGTTAATTTAGTAAAAACACAAGATGAGAAATAAGGGACTTCCCTGGTGGCGCAGTGGTTAAGAATCAGAATCTGCCTGCCAGAGCAGGTGACATGGTTTCGAGCCCTGGTCTGGGAAGATCCCACATGCTGCGGAGCAACTAAGCCCATGTGCCACAACTACTGAAGCCGGGTCGCCTAGACCCCGTGCTCCGCAACAGTAGAAGCTACCAAAATGAGAAGCCCTCACACCACAACGAAGAGTAGCCCCCACTGGCTGCAACTAGAGAAAGCCTGCACACAGCAAGGAAGACTCAACCCTGAAGACCCAACCACGAAGACCCAACGGAGCCAAAACAAACAAAAAAAAGATGAGAAAATTGGAGAAGCCACGTGGGTAAACACATTAGTCCCTGTATATTATATTTCACTTTAATTGTTCATTTTAACTGTAAAAACATCAGTTTTTCAGCTATTTGTGAATGCATTTCTTCACAACTCACTGCAAGGTGGGAACTTGATTCCGTTTCCATGAGTGGAAAGGTTCGGAAACACTGAAGTTGAGGATGAGTCAAACCTAGATCCATTACTAAAGCTTCTAAAGAATGAATTCCTAAGTTAACGCTGTTTGGATGTACTATTTTGCACTCAGAACAATGACGTCCAAGCTCTAACCGCTTCTCTCAAAGAGATGATGGCTAGGTAGACAGCTGCACATCGCGTACCAGGGTTCGAAGCCTCTGACCACAAAAGGCCAACAGGGGGCGCTACTGGACAACCTGGGTCCCTCCCAGAGGTTTGTGGGACTTGTAGTTTTTCTTGCATCATTTCAGGTTAATGAACTACATTTCCCAAAGTGCAAATACAGCCAGTCGGTCCCCCTGTCGGGCGCGGAGTGTCCCTTAAGCTGTGAAAGGTAAGTGAGTTCTGTGTGGGCTGCAGGTTTCTATAAATTGAGGATTCCACTTCTCCTCTTTGCCCTTTGGTGGGACCTGGGAGAGAGCAGCTGTTCCAACAGAGCGTCTTTTCAGCGGGGTTTCCCGAGCCCTCCGGTCTCAGGAATCGGGATTATCTGTTTAGCTGTTCACTGCTGTGGAATGTCAGGGAGAAGTCAGGGTCCTGATCCCAGATCTGGAAAGCCCAGCATAAAATAATGTTTACATATGGGGTGCGTGTCACTAGAGAATTTCTGCATTTTATCTAATATTACATAAAGGCCTTGTTTTTACAGCTAGAAAAAGCTGGGGTAGAATGCCTTGTCAGGTCTCACTACCCTTCACCTTGTCCAAGAAGCCCTATTTGCAATTGAGGGTAAACTAATAGAATATGGGGGAAATAGAATAAAAGGTATGCATGTGCTTAATTACATTAATAAAATCAAAATCTCGAAAAGTCTGAGCAACGGTTTCATCAGCTAAACTGGAACGCTAATGTGCTTCTTTAGTTTATGAAGAAATAAGATAATTCTGATTTATAAAATGGGAAGTAGGTTTATGGGACACACGGTCCCCCAAGGGATAGTATTAACTAAAAATATAAATGTATTCCTCTGATAGAGACATCTTTAGATATAGTCATATATTAACAATGAGCAATTAAGGGACTTAAAAAAGATATTGAGGTAAACCATTAACTTTTTGAAGTTTATAAGAAATTCAGTTCTGACCAGCCAGGTGTTACTGGGAGAGACAGAATAGGCCTTATATTATGCTAGAATTCTGCTTTATCAATTTTTTAGTTTACCTCCCTCCTTTTTAAAATAGATTTTATTTTTTAGAGCCCCCCCCTTTCTTTTCAGAAACCAAAATATGCAGTTTCCCTTGGATGCAGAAAGCCTTGGCAGATTTGCCAGCCATAGTTAATTTTCATCTGATGGCCACAGCATAGGAGAGCTCTGGCTGTAGGTTCTTAGGAGATCAGGAAGACAGATTGGCTTGGGCTGTTATGAAATAGTCTAGTGTGGGGACAAAGTTTTATTTTGTGGAACATATTAGAAATTCTTGACCAAAACAAATTACTAAAAAGATAATAAAAAGGTAGGCTTGTTGTTTCAGGTTGGACTTCAAAGGACCCAGGAGGGTGTGGAGTCAGTTTGTACTGGTGAGGGTCAGTTGTTAAATATTTGGGAATTTACTGGCCAGTTGTTAGATAAACCATTGGTAGCCTGAAACTGGCCACAATAGGATTATTTTCTTTTATCTTTTTTTGAGGGGGAGGGTAAAGGGGAAGCCAGTTTACCAACACACCCCTAGCAAAGGTCAATTTTTCCTCTAAGCCTGGGGCCCCAGTGTTCATTACATCCGTGAGTTATTAGATGCTGAACTAGCTCACACCCTTCCAGATTTACCAAAGATTGATTTGGATTACAAAGCAAGATTATAAATACACTCTAAGTATCTGTGGGGGGAAGGGGCTTACCTTTCAAGTGAATTGTTTATCTGGGGGCTGTCCTTCTAGGTATTGCGGTCATTGATTAATTCACTATCGGTAGGCTGTTCTCATAAGCATGGAATCCACCCCTGGAAATATGGTCTGGTTGGATAGCTTTCTTTTTTTTTTTTTAATTTTTTTTGCCTGCATTGGGTCTTCATTGTTGCGCGCGGGCTTTCTCTAGTTGCAGCGAGTGGGGGCTACTCTTCTTTGTGGTGCGGGGGCTTCTCATTGTGGGGGCTTCTCTTGTTGCGGAGCACGGGCTCTAGGCATGTGGGCTTCAGTAGTTGTGGCACGCGGGCTCAGTAGTTGTGGCTTGCGGGCTCTAGAGCGCAAGCTTAGTAGTTGTGTTGCACGGGCTTAGTTGCTCTGCAGCCTGTGAGAATCTTCCCGGACCAGGGCTTGAACCCATGTCCCCTGAATTGGCAGGTGGATTCTTAACCACTGCACCACCAGGGAAGTCCCTGGATAGCCTTCTTATTAGGTAAAAACCTGTACTACTCTCCTGTACATTTTTCTCATACCTAGATATTATCTTTCAGAGGACAGTATTGTATGCAATGCCAACAAATTCCTATTCCCCAGCCATTTCTCAATATAGTGCTGTTGGCTCTTGTCACCCTTCTCATAAAATATTTCAAAGTACCAGTTTGCTGATTATTAGATACCTTTTGGGTTGGCAGCTTCCAGATGTAAGTTGAAATCTCATTAGTAACCTGCTCCCAAATCCCGTTTAGGGTGGGCTGTTTTGGGGAAATAAGGATGCTACCCCTCCATTCTTTATTTTTTAGTTTCTTGCCTAGAGTTAGTTAGGGTTTGTCTATATATTTTTAGGCTAAGCTTAGCCCTTTTTAATCTCTATTCTGTTGATAATCGTGTGCTCTTGCTTTCATTTTTGTCTAGATCAAGGGCAACATGAGGCAGGCATATGTTTCAGTTACCTGCCCTAGTTCACTTTGTTTATTTAATTTCAAATACGTTTTCGCCAAATACTATATGACTGCTAAGCTAATATGGTCCAGATATTGGAGTTTTGTCTACCTCTAAGGCAAAGCATTCCACATTTTGGCTTCTCTTCAAACTTCTCCATTCTTTTCTCCCTGTCCCTCCCCCTCCCCCTGCCATTCCCCCTCCCCCTTCCTTCTTTTTTTTTCCTCTTTTTGTGGGGGAAGTTTTTTTTCCCTTCATCTCATGGCTTTTGGCATTTCTGTACTTCCACTGTTCTGGGCATACTAGAGCATTTGCAATCCAAACATTCCTCTAAGAAATTACTTTAAAAAAATTTTTTTTTTTTTTTTTTTTTGCATGGCCTGTGGGATCTTAGTTCCCCAACCAGGGATTGAACCTGCACAGTCAGCAATGAAAGAGCAGAGTCCTAACCCCTGGACTGCCAGGGAATTTCCCGCCACCAATTTTTTTTTTTTTATTGTGGAGATAGGTAATATAATGAACCCCCATCCATGGACCCATCACCCAGCTTCAACAATTAACAACCCTTGGTTAATCTTGTTTCATTTATATACTCCACATTTTGTTTACCCATTCATCAGTTTTGTGGGGTTTTTTTCATTAAATTAAAATTTTAAAAAATTTAGGTGTAGTTGACATTTTCAGGTGTACAACTTAGTGATTCATAATTTTTAAAGTTTATATTCGATTTATAGTTATTATGAAATATTGGCTATATTCCCTGTGTTGTACTATATATCCTTGTAGCTTATTTATTTTATATATAGTAGTTTGTACCTCTTAATCCCCTTCCCCATCTTGCCCCTCCCCCCTTCCCTTGGTTACCCTGGTTTTCAAAACCCAGTTTCTCACTTGATGCTTTTTTTTTTCCCTCTCTAGAATGAGGATGAGCTTTGGGTTAACTTTCAGGACAGCAAAAGGCCGCTGGGTGCCGAACCTCAGCCAGCAGTGCTCACGCGGATCCACTGGGTTATTTGTGCCACCAAGTCCTCCTCTGGACTCTGAGAAGGTCAAAGAGTTACAGCGCTTTATCACCCTTTCCAAGAGACTCTTAGTGATGACTGGGGCAGGAATCTCCACTGAGTCGGGAATCCCAGACTACAGGTCAGAAAAGGTGGGACTTTATGCCCGCACGGACCGGAGGCCCATCCAGCATGGGGATTTTGTACGGATCGCTCAAATCCGCCAGCGGTACTGGGCGAGAAACTTTGTGGGCTGGCCTCAGTTCTCCTCCCACCAGCCTAACCCTGCACACTGGGCTTTGAGCAACTGGGAGAGATTCGGAAAGCTGTCCTGGTTGGTGACCCAAAATGTGGATGCCTTGCACACCAAGGCGGGGAGTCAGCGCCTGACAGAACTCCACGGATGCATGCACAGGTGCAGGAAAGCCTAAACAGTGTGAATGCAGACACGTGCTCCATAAGAGCAGGGACCTTGGCCGTCCTGGTCACTGTTGTCTTCGTTAGACCACGAGGAAACGATTTGGGAGGAAGTTGTTTACTTTGGGGTTGATCCCAGCAAACTCAGTGAGGGAATGGGAAGTGAAACAGGGAAAGTGGGAAAGGCAGGGTAAGGTTTTGCTAATGAGTGGGTTACTGCTTGGGGCATCTGGGGCTCAAGCGTGTCAGGGGCGCTCTGACTGTAGAGCAGCTTCAGAACCGTCTCACTGGAAGTCAAGGGGAACTGGGGTGTTTATCCACTGCCTCCCATCCTTCATTGGCTGACGGTCACTCTGGGGGAATTAACTCCCTAACACTTGACTCTGCTCCTCCGGAGAAGGCTTCCATGGCCAGGGAACTCCCTAAACAGGAGAGACACAGGAACTTGTAAGAGAACTGTGGGAGGTGCCCTCTGAGTGTCCCGAGGGAACTATGAGCAGAGCATATGCTACAAACTGCTGGGTTTCCAGTGCCTAGATACATAGATCACAGGATAGCCAGAACCCAATAAATATTGATGAAATGACCATATGTAGCCCTGGCAGTAACTTGTAGCTAATTGGAGACCGTTTCCTTATCTGTAAGCCCCAGAGATCACCCTCTGAGGACTGAAATCAGTCTGCCAGTCATAAAATATTTATTGGGTGTCTGCAACACGTGGTGTGCTACTGGTGTGCTACTTGCTGGTGTGGAGAGGTCAAAACCAAAATATAAAACGTGGTCTGCTTAATATGTGAGAATTTTGTAATCTGTTTGGTGGGAGACCCAAAAATAACAGGTTTAACAACAAACCACTCCACACGTGATTGTTAAATTATGTGGTTCTTGATAGACATGTTTTACAGGTTCAGAGAAACAGAGTTAGTAAAGATTGGAGTAATCTTTTATGGGTGAGGTGGGGCTGGAGAATAGCTCAGGTATGACTAGGCAAAGGAGGGGAAAGAGGGCTTTCCAAGTGAAGGGAACTTGTAGAGTCTGGCCTGGTCTCGTTGGAGGCTAGTATGAAATCAGATTGTCTGGGAAGGCTAGACCCAAATCCTGGATGCATTTGAAAATCATGCAGTGCACTTTGGGTCTGTTGTGAGAGACCAAAGGGTACTGTTAGTGGTTTCTGAGCAAGAAAGCAATATGATAAAAATAGCATTTGAGGAAGCCTGGACAGGATTAGAGAATTAGAGTGGCTCAGGAAAGTCAGCTGGAAAGACTCAGACCAAGGTGGCATCAGGGGATGGGAGAGCTAAGGATGGCTATGGGTCCATTAAAATTTTTTTTAATGATGAAAATTTCAAACATCCACAAAAATAAAGAGAGTAGTATGATGAACTCCCACATACCATCACCCAGATCCAAGAGTTTTATCAAGATTTTACCATGTCTACTTATCCTTTCTCTGTCTCTTTTTGAAATATTTTAAAACAAATCCAAGACTTCTTGTCATTTCATAGGAGGCCTTTTAAGTTAAAAAAATAAAAGCCAACACAGTCTGATGATTGACTAGATAGAGAGTAAAGGGAGAAAACTGAGTAACAAGTTTTTTCCCAAGGGTTTCAGCCCAAGTAACTGGAGGAAGGTGATGGAGAAGCTGTGGAGGGGGATTGAAGACAGAAGTTAAGTTTGACACGACCATCAAGGAGACTTGGACTAAAGTTTGGGGGAGAGGGCAGGAGTGGAGTCCTGTATAGAGGAGGAAACTGTTAGCACAGAGGCACTGTAGCAGTGACCACAGAGACACCCCAGGAAGGGACAGTGGAAAGAAAACAGGTTGGAGGCTGGAGGAGCAGAAGAGGAACCAACTTCCATTTTTCTTTCAACAGCTATTTAGTGAGTGCCTGCTATGTGCAGACACTGTTATGGGCGATGGGCACAGAGCAGTGGACAAAGGACTCAAATTTCTCTTTTTTTTTTTTGGAGGGCCATGCAGCTTGTGGGATCTTATTACCCTGACCAGGGACTGCACCTGGGCCCTGGCAGTGAAAGCCCGGAATCCTAACCACTAGGCCACCGGGGAACTCCCCAGAAAGTGTTTTAAAGAGAAGATGGCAATGGACAGCAGCGATTAGAGCAGAGGATGGAGGGGGAAGGGGGAAAAAAAACCCTGGTTTTGGCACTAAGTAAAATGTGGTAAAGGCTTTGCAGTCATGTTAAGGATAAAAGTGAGCTAGCAGAAGGTTTAAGCAGGGAGTGTGTAGTAAGGAAACAGATGCACGTTTTTCTAGAAGGTTGGCTGTGGAAGGAAGGTGGTAGCTAAAGAGGTCATGAAAAGGTATTAATAAAGCGGGGAAAACACGGTGGGTGTCAGGGAAAGAAAGTGGTGACGGAGGAGCTAGAGATGGTTGGGGGTGAAAGGTCTTCAGTAGCTTCGTGCCTCCCCAGCACAGCTGGCCTCCTCTCTGGTTTCAGGGTCCTCTGCTTGGGCTGCGGTGAGCAGACTCCCCGAGGGGCACTGCAAGAGCGGTTTGAAGTCCTGAACCCCACCTGGAGCGCTGAGGCCCATGGCCTGGCTCCGGACGGTGACGTCTTTCTCACTGAGGAGCAGGTACAGAGCTTCCGGGTCCCGCCCTGCTCTCGATGTGGGGGCCCCCTGAAACCAGACGTCGTCTTCTTCGGGGACACGGTGAACCCTGACAAGGTTAATTTTGTGCACAAGCGGGTAAAAGAAGCCGACTCCCTCCTGGTGGTGGGATCGTCCTTGCAGGTAACTGACTTGGTGTCGGGATGGTAACTGCCCCCTTTGCGGGCTGGGGAGCCCGGGAGAGGCTCCCTATTGGTTTATCTCTTCCTGCCTTTAGAGAGCTCTTATCTGCGTCTTCTGCTCCGACAGGTGTACTCGGGCTACAGGTTCATCCTCACTGCCCAGGAGAGGAAGCTGCCAATTGCAATACTGAACATCGGGCCCACACGGTCGGACGACTTGGCATGTCTGAAACTGGATTCTCGTTGTGGAGAGCTGCTGCCTTTAATAGACCCACGCTGACCACAGCCTGATATTCCAGACCCGGAAACTGGGACTTTCACTTGAATTCTGCTGCCAATGGTAAAATGCCTTCTCAGATACCAGATTCCAGTTCCCGCTCAACTGAGAGCACTGACAAAAGAGAGAAGGGTCTAGGTTTCTTAATGTATGGCCATTCTTTTTTTTTTTTTTTTGCGGTACGCGGGCCTCTCACTGTTGTGGCCTTTCCCGTTGCGGAGCACAGGCTCCGGATGCGCAGCCTCAGCGGCCATGGCTCACGGGCCTAGTCGCTCTGAGGCATGTGGGATCTTTCCTGACTGGGGCACGAACCCGTGTCCCCTGCATCGGCAGGCAGACTCTCATCCGCTGCGCCACCAGGGAAGCCCTGGCCATTCTTAATTGAAACTAATTTTTTAACGTGCATTACGCTATATTGTTCGAAAGACTGATTTTTGAATTCTAGGCACATAGCTATTTAAGACAATGTTCCAAAATCTGCCATTGCCTTTTTCCCCATTTTTAAAAAATAACAGCTTTATTGAGATATAATTCCTAGGCCATGAAGTTCACCCTTTAAAAGTACACTTTAAAAGTATATAATTAACGTGTTTTTAGTACACTCACAAAGTTGCACATTAATCACCACTAATTCCAGAACATTTTCATCATGCCAGGAAGAAACCCTGTACCCATTAGCAGTGATTCCCCATTCCCCACCCCCTGGTCCCTGACAACAACTAATCTTCTTTCTGTTTTTGCCTATTCTGGACATTTCATACAGTATGTAGCCTTTTGTGTCTGGCTTCTCCACTTGGCATAATGTTTTCAAGATTCATCCATATTGTAGCATGTGTCAGTACTTTATATCTATTGATATTTTCACCTACGAGTACAACCACTTTAAAAAAATATAACAGCTTTTTTTTTCAGCTTTGAGATATAATTCACATATCATACAGTTCACTCATTTATTGCATACAATTCAATAATTTTTAATATATTCCCAGAGGAGTACAGCCAGTTTGAAAAAGACTTTATTTTTTTTAGAGGTCTGAGGTTCACAGCAGAATTGAGCAGAAAGTGCAGGAGTTCCCATATACTCCTTGCCCCTGTTCACTAACATGGTATTTATCGTTTACCTACTGAAGGACATCTTGGATGCTTCCAACTTTTTGGCAATTATGAATAAAGCCACTGGACTTCCCTGGCAGTCCAGTGGTTAAGACTCTGTGCTTCCACTACAGGGAGCACGGGTTTGATCCCTGGTGGGGGAACTAAGATCCCACATGCTGCGCAGCATGGCAAAAAAAAAAAAAAAAAGTAAAGCTGCTATAAACATCCATGTGGAGGTCTTTGTGTGGATGTAAGTTTTCAACTCATTTGGGTAAATACCAAGGAGTGAGACTGTTGGATCATATGATAAAAGTATGTTTAGTTTAGTAAGAAACTGCCAAAATGTCTTCTAAAGTGGCTGCACCATTTTGCATTCCCACCAACAATGTGTGAGAGTCCTGGTAAAACCACTTTTTAAAAACCATTTTAATTGAAGTATACTGACATACAGAGAATCGCAGCCATCATGAGTGGACAGCTTGATGACGATGTAGAGCATCTAAATCAAGGAACAGAACACTGCTAGCACCCAAGAAGTCCCCTTGGCAAATCACTTTTTAACTAGTTCTTGTTACTAGAATAATACATATTTATTACAGAAAGTTTAGATGATACAGATAAGTAAAAAGGATTTTAATACAAATTACCCATAATCCCACTACCGAGATAACCAAAATCTAACATTCTGGTATAACTAAGTCTAAATCTATTCTTACGAAAGTTGAATCAAGCAGTACAGTATTTTATTACATCCTGTTTGCACCTAACAGCACAGAGTGGCCATCTTGACATTCCCTAAATGCTGTGGGTTTTTTATGGTAGACTGATGTACACAATCATTTCCTCCACCCCACTGGCAGCTTATTTTGGCATTAACTTGTTTTATTTCTTTTTAGATCCCTAAGGATTCATCCCTGCTTCCTCTAACTGATCGAGGCTTACCGACTGCCGCCTGCAGAGGGCAGCAAACCGACATCTCTCTGCCAGCCCATCTCTGAACCCCGCAGCTTTCAGAGCCCAGGAGTTAAAATCTTCCAGCTGATGAGATTTGCCCCTGAAGAGGACTTTTTCAAAGCCGCAGCTTCTTTTGATAGGAAAACTGCTTTCTCTCCCTTTTTATCTCATCAGGCAGAAGAAATAGCCCAGGAAATATGTACCTCCAGAGTACTAACCTAGGGATCTCACTAATGTGGGTAAAGGGGGAAGGAAATGACTTAATTTATAATTCCGAATGCTTAAATGTCTTTAACTGAACCATTCTGATATATTTTTTGAAAAGACGAACAATGATATGAATGAATTTTTTATAAACCAAGGAATAGAGAAAGCATATTTTTAAATAGCACATTAGGTATGTGGGCTGTTACATATATTTTTATATTTTTTAATCAGCTAAAAGTGAATGTGGCTTTATGACACGGTTCTCTAAGGATTTCTGCTTGATTTCAGCTGCCAGAATGAGACCAGCCTTGAACCTGGTCTGCAGAGAGGAAACAGTGAATTCCCAAGTGGGTTCTTAAATTGATTTGTTTCTGCTGAGGGAAGCAGCAAGACTTGTTTGATTACTGTGTTAGCCAGAGAGAATCATTGTCGCAGGCTAAAGCTTTCTGCACGATCTCATCAAAAAGCGAAGCGGATGAAAGAATCACAGCCTATTCTGGGTAGTCTTTTGTCTAAAATCAGGGCAAGCAATACATGTTCATCCTGCATCTGCCTAGGAAGCAAATTTCAGTTGACTGGGATAACCCAAGATCTTGAAAACACAGAGTTCTTTTCACCTGCACAGCTGTAGGTTCGCTCACAGCCATTCATTAATTCTGGAGAGTCGTAAGGCTGTGGTAAATCGCACTCCAGCTTTTTTGCAGATAGAGATGCTAAGGTGCTCTGAACCAGATTTGCTCAGTTACCCACAGTCAGTACCACCAATAATTGCATTCAAATCTGGGTCTTTTGAATCCCAAGCCATTCTCATCCACAAATCTCATAAACGGTTACTGACCAACACTGTATTTAGGTACTAAGGCTACAAAGATACAACCTCTTGCTCTCAAGTGGCTCACAGAGGATGTGTTACCTCCCGTACTCTCATCCTTTACCAGGATATGTCACAGAGTCATGCATGGAATGACAGGAGAGGAAATTTAGTCCATCACCCCTTCATTTTATTTTTGAGGAAACTAAGATCCACACTTACCTAAGGCCACAGTATGTTGTTTCAGAGCCAGGACGAGAATCTGAGTAGATCTTTCTCCCAGTTCTTTCAGACAGCAACGCTTCCTACTTGTCTGAAGATTATAGTTAGAAGGAAGTCAGCCTGAAGTAGAAGTAGAAGCCAACAGTACACCCGGCCAGGAATGGTTAAAATGTGGGCAGTGGAGAGCAGATTAGGCTGCGAGGGAGGGAAGCCAGGCTCTTTCATCACCTAATGCTGGCATGATTTATGAAACCGAGTCTTGAGGGCCTTAGGAATGTTTGTTTTGTTCATATTTCCTCCTGAGATGGAATTCTTTGCAAACAGTTTGTCTCAAGAGGAACCTGGTATTTCCTGAAGCTGATGCTTCTCAGGTCTCCTTACTTTACATCTTTTGCTCTCCACCAGCACAGCAGTCCCCAACCTGCTGTAAGTGCCCTCGGTTGGAATAACAGACTTCTACTAGCGGGTGCTCTCAGCTTTCACTGCCCTGCTTACATGGTTGTAACTGCATAAGCCCAGCTTTGGCTGTGACTTTCAGTCATATCCTTCCTTGTTGCTTCCACAACCGCTCTGCTATCACAGTTTTAGTAAGTACAAGTCATGAAGGCAAACAAGTACAGAATACTCGAATCTCCTTCCCACTAACTCATATTCCTTCTTTCATGCTGTCATAAATTGAATATCCTCTCAGTTCTCCCTTAAATAACAGCATTTGTTGGGACTTCCCTGGTGGTCCAGTGGTTAAGACTCTGTGCTTCCACAGCAGGGGGCACGGGTTCGATCACTGGTCGGGGAACTAAGATACCATGTGCTGTGTGGTGCAGCCAAAAAATAAATAAGAAATAAAATAATAGCATTTGTTGAGCATACTATATCTCAAGCATTGTGCAAAGTATTTTACAACATGTTAGCTCACTTAATGAGTTAATCCCACATGAGATGCTTGGATATGCATAAAGGTCAGTCTTCAGTGAATGCCAAACATTTCCTGAGAGGATCAAAGTCAGGACGGATAGGAAATTCGACACTCCTAGGTAGGGTGACCAGCCATCCCAGATTGCCCAGTACTGAGGGGTTTTCCGGATGTAGGACTTGAAGTGCTAAAACAAAGATGAGTTGGTCACCTTGCTCTGAGGAATAGCAAAGGTTGCCACCAGCTATAATAGTTAATTCCAGATATATTATTCTTGTTGAGATTCAAGATGGTGCTCTGAGATCCAGATTGTTTCCGTAATTTCTGTCACAAAAGAGATCAATTCCACTTCATGAAGAAAAAAAAAATTTAAACTCATCCATGAAAGCAGAATGTTTTTTTTTCTCTCGATTTAATAGAAAAGGAATATAGCACAGCACTGAAATAGAAAATAGACAGACTTGGATTTCCAACCCTGTCTTGCTACTTAGTAGTTAGGTGAACTTGGGCAAGTTGTTTTATCTAAGCTTCAGTCTCTATAAATGAGGATAATAGGAGCTACCCAATTGAGTGGTTATGAAGACTAAACAAGGTAATGATGCACGTGTAGCTCACAGCACAGTGCCTGACAGAGTAAGCAGATATCAGCCATTATCACTAGAGTATGGGAGGAGGGTGGGAGGGGAAGCCATCCTACCTGCCAAACCTTTGTCTCCTATTGAGTATTCCTTTGAGTAGACTCACTCGGATCTTCCCCAGAGCCACTTTTCCTTTTTGTGTACCTGTTTGTCTTTAAAAAAAAAAAAAAAATTACAAAAGCCAAGCTTTGCTTGATGTAAGAAAGCCTTTCTAAAGAAAATAAAGCATATTCTTCCAGAAAACAGAAGCCTCCTATACTACTGGTGGGAATGTAAATTGGTGCAGCCACTGTGGAAAACAGTATGGAGATTTCTCAAAAAACTAAAAATAGAACTACCATATGACCCAGCAATTCCACTCCTGAGTATATATTGGAAAGAAACAAAAGCACTAATTCAAAAAGATACATGCACCCCAATGTTCACAGCAGCATTATTTACAATTGCCAAGGTATGGAAGCAACCTGTGTCCATCAACAGATGAATGGATAAAGAAGATGTGGTATAAATATACAATGGAATACTACTCAGCCGTAAAAAAGAACAAACTTTTGCCATTTGCAGCAACATGGATGAACTTGGAGGGCATTATGCTAAGTGAAATAAGTCAGAGAAAGACAAATACTGTATGATATCACTTATATGTGGAATCTAAAAAATACAACAAACTAGTCAATAAAACAAAGAAGCAGACTCACAGATATAGAGGAGAAATGAGTGGTTACCAGTAGGGAGAGGGAAGGGGGGATGGGCAATATAGGGGTGGGGGTTATGATGGGATTATATGAAATCGTGTATAAAACTTTTGAAAATTGTAAAGCACTATAGAATTTAAAGGCTCTTTCATTCAAAAAGTTAAAAAAAGAGTATCCTTCCTTCTATTTCGGAAATAGTATTTATTGAACATTTACAACAAGCACTGTAGGAAGCATTTTACAACGCATTTACTCACCTTATTCCCACAACCCTAAGATCCACGCACTGTTACTTCTTTTGAAAGATAAGGATCCTGAAGCTCACAGACCTTATGTAACTTGCCCAAGGTCACCTAAAGTGACCAGGCCAGTAATCAAAGCCAGTCCAGTTTTGAACTCGCTCTCTCTTTTGAATGTTCTCGAAATTCGGTGGGGTAACTAAGCAACTGTACTTTGAGAAGGAAGAAGGGCAAGGCTCAAGAAACTTTCAGAGTGACCCCAGTTGGGTCCTAAAATATGAATAGGCAATCACCAAGCGGGGAGAGGGAGATCATTCCAAACGGAGGCAACAGCAAAAGCAAAAACATGGTCAGAACTGCAAATTCCTTCACCTTTTCTTTTTCTCTTGAAGGGGGTGGGGACTCAAGTGAGAACTTGGGACGCCCCTGAGGCCTTTGGCTCGTCCGAAATTTACTCGCTTCTCTCCTTGGCCATTCCTCCTTTTCGCCCCATTTTGATTTCCTGCACCCCACTTTCCTGGTCCCCTCGGTGCCTCCCCAGGATGAATGAAACGGAGGAGTTACCAGCCGGAAACTAGTAGAGGGAGCTGGGGGAAGAGGTGCGTATGTGCAGGGAATGAGAGACCCAGAGAGGGGCACGCACGGTAAGAAAGTTGACCCCAACGTCACACGCACAGGAGGTCACCGTCTTTTCACACTTGACTCGCCCACTCTGTCCTTCCTGCCGGATTCTGAAGGGCGCACCGCCTCCCACCTTCCGAGGACGCCAACCACTGCGCCTGCGCTGACTCTCCTCCTCCCCCCCACCCCGCTTCCTACCGAGCGCGAGAGGGGCGGGGCCTGAGTCTGGGAGGCGCGGAGGTAGGCTGGGGACTGGGCCGCTGTTCACCAATAGAAAAGAGGAACCGAGAGCCACGTGCCCAAAAGATACCCAATCACATTTCCTACTCCATAATCCTCCGTCCCTGGGGTGTGGCCAACGGATTGACAGGATTGGGCGCGCACGGTCACGCGACCCGAAAAAGGTAAATAGGGCAACGCGGTTTTTCCTCGCCTGCGGAAAATCGTTGCGCGACGCTCTACCCTCGTTGAACAATTATTTAATGAGCGTGTGTGATGTGCTAAGCACTGTGAAGATGCTGTGGCTTCTGGGATGTACGTAATCCAGACATTGTATTACTCTCGGTCCAGCTACTGTACCAGTGTTTCCCGTATTCCGTTTCCTGTAGTGAGCACCCCGCAGATGCTCTTTAAAGATCGTTAAAGGAATTAGTTCTCTCTTCCCCAACACTTGGGATGATAAAAAGAGGTAGGTTTTTACGTCAGAGGATATTTTTAGAGCCCAGTTGGAGTACTTGGGTGACTCTTTTCTCTATTTGTTGTTTATCAACCGATAAAAATAGGAATAAGCAACAGTTCCCTAAAATCTTATTTTGCAGGACTTCCCTGGTGGCGCAGTGGTTAAGACTCTGAGGGCTCCCAATGCAAGGGGCCCGGGTTTGATCCCTGGCCCAGTACTAGATCCCACATGCATGCCGCAGCTAAGAGCTTGCATGCCACAACTAAGACCCAACGCAACCAAAAAAAAGAAAAAGAAGCTTATTTTTCTTCCATCTAAACAGGGGCTTGCAGTTTCCTTTCATAGAAGAAAGACGTTTATAACCTTTACAGTTCTTTGAAGGCTGAGGCCAAGTCTAACTTAATTGTGTATCCCTTGAATCATACTGTAGCACAGTATGTATAGAAAGCCATTCTACCTAGGTTTGATGAATTTGCATTTGACAATAGTCCCGTTCTTGCCTGCAAAAAGGTCCTGAGAGCTAATGACCAACACTTCATTCAGCAATTATTTATTGACTGCCGCATGTATCAAGGACAGTACCAGGCAGATAGGGATACAAAAGTGATTAAGACACCTCATTCTGCCTTCAGCAAATTCATGGTGTGATGGCACTTTTCCTCTAAATTATCCAGGTTTGGGTTCCAATATCAGCTATCCCATCTATGAGAGGGTGGCCTTTGACAAATCACTTGCCTTTTTGAGCCAGCTTGCTCATCTGTAAAATGGGGAGGTATATACTATAGAGCTGTTGTGAGGATGATGAGGTAATTGTGCAAAATGTTTGGCACAGTCTGGAGCATAGAGCATAGCATATGTTATGTAGCATATGCCAGTTTGACAGCAAGAAAAAAAAAGTTTCAGAGAAGACTAAACTGAAGGCAGCTACTAACAATAAATCATTGTCTTCAGGCCAGTCCCAAATACATTGTGTCCTCAGCATTTTGTACTGTGTCTGGCCCAGAGAGAGTATTCAATAAATATTCATTGAATGGATGAATGAAATGAAGGAGAAACTGGGCCAAAAGACAAATCTGCACACACTCCTTTGCTGCCCACCATACACCCAGCAGCCTCCAGTGGTTTAAAACTGCTCAGTGATGGCTTCTCATAGTCCACATCTCCTTTCTCATCTCTTTGCTTTTCCAATTCAGTTCCCTCTGTGTCCCTCCCCACTCTTTCTGGTGAATTTCAGTGCCAGTGCAGTCATAAACCTTTGTAGAGAAACTTGTCCGAGTGACTTAGTGGTTAAGAACTCAGGCATTGCCAAGCAGACAGATCTGGTCAAATCCTGACTCTGCCATTTGTGTGATCTCAGGCAAGTGACTTCTCTGAGTTTTTAGTTCCTCATCCATAAAATGGGGGCAATAACATTGATCTCACAGAGCTGGTTTGAATGCTTACTGAGATGAGACATGGAAAGCCCTTAGCACAGTGATATGTGGTAGGTGCTCAAGATGTAGAAGCTGTTATTTTTAATTATATTTCATGACTACAGTGTAAAAATCAGCTTGTAGAGTGCGGTGAAGGCTTTGAAGGGTTTAGAAAGGAGTTATAGGAAAAAATGTTTAACGCAGTTGGAAATGGAGGCAGAGAAATAAGGGGGTGATATTTGGCTCAAACTGAGGAGCCCACCACTTCAGGCAGGGCAGGGTCATGGTTAAGAGCGTGTGTTCTGTTGGACTTGCTGGGTTCAGATCCCTTCTTTGCTACTTACTAGATGAATCTTGGTGGGCAAGTGACCTGGCCTATTGAAGTTCAGCTTAGAAAAATAGGATTTGCTAATAGTGTCTAAATCTTACAGGGCTGGACTTCCCTGGTGGCGCAGTGGTTAAGAATCCACCTGCCAAGACAGGGGACACGGGTTCGAGCCCTGGTCCGGGAAGATCCCATATGCCTTGTAGCAACTAAGCCCGTGTACCACAACTACTGAGTCTGCACCCTAGAGCCTGCGAGCCACAATTACTGAGCCCACGTGCCACAACTACTGAAGTCCGCATGCCTAGAGCCCATGCTCCGCAACAAGAGAAGCCACCACAATGAGAGGCCCGCGCACCGCAACGTTGAGTAGCCCCTGCTCACTGCAACTAGAGAACGCCTGTGCGCAGCAATGAAGACCCAACACAGCCAAAAATAAATAAATAAATAAATAAAAAATCTTATAGGGCTGTCCAGGAAATTTAGAGACACACAGTTCTGGCACAGAGTAAATTATCAGTGGTTGTTAATCATTATTAAAGTCTCATGGTACTTCCTAGAAATATCCCTCTAATTCAACTTCCAAGGCTAGAAGGAATGATGCTCACAAAGGACCAGGAAGTGATTTAGTCGTGTTCAGTAGATAGAGAATAAAAGAATCTCCAAATGGGAGGACTTTCAACAAGGTACTTTATTGGAGGGCATGGTGTAAGGTGAAAGCCATGGGGCAGGTAGGGAGTCACAATTTCCTGGGACGATACTCAGCTCTTACAGTACTTCTTGGTGTCCAGGTTCTTGTGCTTCTTGTTGTACGGGACCTTTGAGAAGCAGATGGCAGCAGTGCGGTCACAGTTGCAGATGAAGGCCTCACAGGCATTGTTTTTGCCTGGAAAAGGGCAAGAACAGAGGACTGAGCCAAGGCAGTTCATGCTTTGTACAATCCAGGGGCAAGAAGAATTAACTGAAATGATCTGGTGGCCATTCCATTGGTGCAAATTTAGGGTTGACAGATAAAGCAAATAAAAATACTGGAATTTCAGATCAACAATGAATGTAATATTTGGGACACAGACTAAAAAAATCATTTCTTGTCTATCTGAAAATCAAATTTAACTGGGCAGCCTGTTTTATCTGGTGATTCTAGGTGTGATAGCTGCTTTTTGGAAAGTTCTGTCTATTTCACACCTCTAAATGTACTCACTGCTTTTAAAACCCATATAACCACAGAACTCTGATAACATAGGCAAGCAATTGCAAACCATATGGAAAATACTACGACATATACTCAAGGCAGCAAAGTATTGTACATTTCAACTTAGTGAAGTTTCATAAGCCAATTTCTCTAAAGTGCATATTTTAAAAATTACAGAATGTCCTTAAAATACAATATTATATAGACATTTAAAATAATTATGTCTGTATGTGGAAATGTTTCCATGATATTTTATTAAAGGGAAAGAATACATAGTATATGCCAAAAAAATTTGAAGGGCAATACATCTAACTGGTTATCTTGGGTATTAGGATTATAGGTGCCTTCTTCTTTCCATGACATACATTACTGTAGAATTTGAAATTACATTACTCTGACCTTGCTTACTTTTGTAACCAAAAGAAACAACAAAAATAACATTTAAAATACATTTCATGGAAATAAAAACCAAAATAAACAAATGGGACCTAATGAAACTTAAAAGCTTTTGCACAGCAAAGGAAACCATAAACAAGACAAAAAGACAACGCTCAGAATGGGAGAAAATATTTGCAAATGAAGCAACTGACAAAGGATTAATCTCCAAAATATACAAGCAGCACATGCAGCTCAATATCAAAAAAACAAACAACCCAATCCAAAAACGGACAGAAGACCTAAATAGACATTTCTCCACAGAAGATATACAGATTGCCAACAAACACATGAAAGGATGCTCAACATCACCAATCACTAGAGAAATGCAAATCAAAACTACAATGAGGTATCACCTCACACCAGTCAGAATGCCCATCATCAAAAAATCTACAAAGAATAAATGCTGGAGAGGGTGTGGAGAAAAGGGGACACTCTTGCACTGTTGGTGGGAATGTAAATTGATACAGCCACTATGGAGAACAGTATGGAGGTTCCTTAAAAAACTAAAAATAGAACTACCATGTGACCCAGAAATCCCATTACTGGGGATATACCCTGAGAAAACCATAATTCAAAAAGAGACATGAACCACAATGTTCACTGCAGCACTATTTACAATAGCCAGGACATGGAAGCAACCTAAGTGTCCATCGACAGATGAATGGATAAAGAAGATGTGGCACATACATACAATGGAATATTACTCAGCCATAAAAAGAAACGAAATTGAGTTATTTGTAGTGAGGTGGATGGACCTAGAGTCTGCCATACAGAGTGAAGTCACTCAGAAAGAGAAAAAGAAATACCATATGCTAACACATATATATGGAATCTAAAAAAAAAAAGTGTCCTGAAGAACCTAGGGGCAGGACAGGAATAAAGACGCAGATGTAGAGAATGGACTTGAGGACACGGGGAGGGGGAAGGGTAAGCTGGGACAAAGTGAGAGAGTGGCATGGACATATATACGCTACCAAATGTAAAACAGAGAGCTAGTGGGAAGCAGCTGCAAAGCACAGGGAGATCAACTCAGTGCTCTGTGACCACCTAGAGGGGTTGGGATAGGGAGGGTAGGAGGGAGATGCAAGA